CCCATAGAACATGCCCTATTGAGATGTGAGCGTAAAGACAGCTAAGTGTTCTGCAATTGAATTCCAAAGAACATGTCATGTTTTTACTGAAAACCATTTCTTTTCAAATCTCCAGCTTGTTGGAAGTGCTAACAATTGTGACACATTTCCCTGCTTGTACCAGTTCTGCAGAGGTGTCTTATAGCTGAGAAAATGTCAGAACTGCCATTTTCCATCAATGCAAGTGCAGAAATCATAATTAGCCTTTCCAGTAGACAAAAGTCTAGCTAGAGTAAAAGCTGTTTTGTGCTATTTGCGAGGTGCAATAGTCACTCATTGTGCAGCCACATCTCACAGCTTTTGACTCACGGCAAACTTTCAAAGTGCCTGAGAGGGATATGACTAGAAATTTTATCTGAGAGTGCTCTGTCATCTCCATTGTACCCAGATTTATTTCCCCTTCTAGCTGTTTGTGATATCAGCAAGTGTCATTCTACTAGGGGCAAAGCAGGTTGTCTCTCATTCCTCAGAAGAAGGCAGTTCATTACCCTTTGCAGGTGTATATCATGATTATGACTTTCAAAGTTGTAATCACTCAAAGAAGAAGCTAAGCAGTCATTCTCATCACTCATTGCTTCCCTCCCTGTTCCCCATAAATACTAAAACAAGTGACTATCACAGCTCAACAAGTGCCACAGCTTCACCTGTGCCAGAAGAGCCTGAAAAAATGTTCTGGAAAAGAGTAAGTGAGACTCAGTTGAGGCTTGTGAACCTTGTGCACAAAAGCAGGGGCTATGTGAACATCATTTGAAACTGCAGTCATGCACATAGATGCTCTATTAGTGGCAGCTGTCAGGTGACCACTACCAGAAACAGTGTCTGCAAAAGTTTTCCCTGAATGCAGTTCTGAAGCACAAAGGAGGAAAAATTGGAAAAAATGTGGGTACAGTGTTGTGGCATTCGAATTTGTTGTAAAGTATTTCTATTCCATATTTACACAAATACACCGAATCTTATGACAAAAAAAAAAAAAAAAAGAAAAAAAAAAAAATCCTCTGTTCTCTTCTTGAAAGAGAAACAGAAAGTCAAAATAGTCAAAATCATGCTTCATTAAATCTTGACTATGCTCAAAATGTATGCCTGTAGGCATTGCACAGGCTAGAAAATTAATCTTAGTCAGTAAAGTTATCTTAAGTGTCTTGGCTTCCTCTGAATTAGGCAGCCCAGAGGCGTGGTGAGACATTGGACAGAAAAAGGTTAGATCTGTCTTGAGAAGTTATGCCTGAAGGTGCTTATTTTTGCACTTGTTCTCTAAAGAAGTGATTAAACAGGAAACTTCTAGTTTCTCCTACAGGAAAACAAGTTTTCCTAGAAATATAAGATCCTAAAACACTCATGGGATAAATTACTCCCAGTGTGGTGGGCAACAACTGCCCTGCAGCTTTGAAAGAAGCCTAAAGGTTTGAGGTACGCCTAGAGTTAAGAAGGTATAACTTGGCTGACATAGGCTCTATTTCTGCTGAAGGAGCTGAGTTATTAACAGTATATTAATATATTATATAACTATACCAAGTCATATAATCAAAGCAATTTTCTGCACAAATGAGAAATAACTTACTAAGGGAGAGACAGAATGTCAGTTAACCAGCCAGAAAGTATAGGATGGCTTTGGTTGGAAGGGATCCCTGTAGTCCATCTTGCCCAACCCCCTGCTTAAGTAAAGACACTTAGAGCTGTTTGGCCAGGATCATGTGCATACAGCCTTTAAACAATTCCAAGGATTGAGATTCCACAACCTCCCTAGGCATCCTGTACCAGTGCTCAGTCATCTTCAGAGCAGAAACTGTGTTCTGATGGTCAGAGGGAACCTTCTGTCTTTCTGTAAGTATCCATTTCCTCTGCTCCTGCTACTGCCCACAGCCTGGCTCCATCTTCCTCACAATTTCCCTTCAGATACCTATAGACTTTGACAAAATTACTGATAGATGGTAAAATGAGATTAGATTAGAGTTTTCCATACTGGAAAAAGTCTGAGAGTGGTGCTTCAAAACAAATTTAATTGTAAATTTTTATTACTGTGGAAACTAAAAAAACTGATTGACTAATACTGGCTCATTTTGAGTTCCACACAATTTGGGAGAACCCTGAGTCAGGAAGGCAGAAGTGGCTGCCTAGCAGAAAGATTAGACATAAGTTCAAAACAAGACCAGGTGATGCCAGTACTGGGATCTGGCTGCTCTTTTCCAAGAATAAGAAAGTTTGGGCTGATGCAGGCAGCGCTGTTGGGCAAGTTGTAACTTCTGGCAGACCCTGGCTAATACCAACGGAAAGCTCTAAAGGGAAACATGCTGGCTCCAACAGTTGAACCCTCTCACCACAGATCTGCATCTATTGGAAAATTTTGGTAAAAGATCTGGACCACGTTGTGACAGAATGAGAAGTCTGGCAGCTCCCCTAAAAAGTGCTTATTGGACATGGAGCTTTCATGTGGATGATGCAGATAGGGGTGTTTTTTATCTGGTTGATTGCTAGGCTGCTGGCCAAATGCAAAGAGGAGAAAGATACAAAGGGCTGAAATCAAAAGACAGAGAGTAGTTGTCAGCTGCCTTGAGGTGCCATCAATATAATTGCAGGCTGTAACCCCAAGATAGGAAACATCCAAGATAGATTGTTAATGGAATCTGCATCACAGCAGTCAGGTCAGCCATAATTGGTATTGTAGGAACAGACACCACCTACAGTACTGTAAGGAAGGATTTGATGTTATACCGCACTGTCCTTACCTGTTTATTCCTTATTTTAGTAAATTGGATACTTCATTCTATAAAGAAGGTTTTTCATGTTAAAATTATTTGCATATTCCCAGTTCCTCATGCTTCCCCTGTTGTGTGCCAGTTGAGATAAATTCCAGGTGTGGGCAGTAGATGAACTGTTGTGGTGTAGTTACCACCTGCATACAAAGCTGGGACATCTAGAGGCCAGAGCAGTGTCTGCAGATACTGCCAGTACAAATACATCTACTAGATGTGGGTATTACAGCATTTTCCAAAAGCGGCTTAGATGATAAGTACATCGCATGACCTCTAGTGGTATTAAGCCCAAGGCATTGGCAAAGTCACTCATAGCAGTTTTGTGCTGCTGGGGAAAAGCCAAGGTCACGGAGGAACTGTCACACATTATGTGATAATTCTGTGCTGCTGAACCTCACCTTACTTCCAGATTAATGCCAGCCCCAGATTTCTCCCATTGCCAGGGTAAGACTGAGAAAAGTTTTTAATCCATCAAAAATTCCAAACACTCAGCAGAGCGAATGTTTTCCAGCAATGTTTTCATTGTCAATTAATAACATATTGTCATTTGTCTTTCCCAGTGTCATGGTTTAACCCTGGCCAGCAGCTCAGCCTGAGCCTGCCACTTGCTCACCTCTTCCACAGTGGGATGGAGAAGAGAATCAGAAGGGTAAAAGTGAAAAAACTCTTGGGTTGAGACAAAGACAGTTTAATAGGGAAAGCAAAGGCCATGCAAAACAAAACAAGGAGTTCATTCACTGCTTCCCATGGAGAGACAGGTGCTCAGTCATCTCCAGGGAAGGTGGGCTCCATCACACATAACAGTGACTTGGGAGGACAAATGTCACCACTCTGAGTGTCCCCCCTCTTTGTTTTTTAGTTCCACCCATCTATACATCCCGAAGCATGAAACCATGTGGTGTGGGATGTCCCTGTGGCCAGCTGGGGTCAGCTGTCCCAGCTGTGACCCATCTCAACTCCTTGTGCACCCCCAGCCTCCTCCCTGGCAGGGTGAGGAGCAGAAAAGGCCTTGACTCTGTGCAAGCACTGCTGAGCAGGAAAAATGCAGTGCTCTCTCTTCAGCGACTCAGAAAGTCAAAGAGGGGTAAGGATTTCTGTTAACATCAGCAGAATAATGTTCTGGTTCCCTGTTTTTGTGGGTTCTATTTCATTGAAGAGGTGCAACTGTCATTGCTGACATCCTCTCAGAAGGTCTAGAATCCCCACAGCTTGAAAAAGAAGCTAGAAATTATCTTCTCCTTGGGATATCAACTTTGCCAGCAGGAAAAGGCAGGACCAGGTCTGCCAGAAAGAAACTACTGACACAAAAATGAGGTGGAACTAACAACAAGTGTGGCAACAAAAGACACTGAACACCTACCTAATCAACTGTGTGATTAGGAAGGTAGGCTTTCCCACAGGACTGGTTGGAGAAGCCTTCTCTTGTGAGCTGCTGATGCAGCCTCTGCAGGCTATTTTGATTTTTTCCAACTATATTCCTGTTGCTTTCTGTTATTTACTCTTTAGTCCTTTAGTAAATAGAGAGATGGACTTCAAAGAAAAACATTTTAAAAATAAATAATTTTAAATAGGCAATGCAAAAAAAATTGACGTCAAGCCAGTTTAATCCAGAAAATTAATACTGTGTTTACCATAACTCATTTAAATTCTAAGGTATTTTTATATACCTGAATAAGATCTTAAATGGATTTGTATCATGATATGATCCATGGTTATTTATGCACTATATTTATCTCAATAGGTATGTCATCTTCATAATTAACAAGTGAGTATAATTTAACCAGTTGTTTGAAGCTCAGTTGTTATAGCTTTTATGTGTGTGTGAATGGATTTGACCTTTTATTGTGTGTGTGAGCGGATTTGACTTAGCTGCTTTCCAGATGCAAGCTGTTTCTGGCACAGGCTGTGGTTTTCATTTATGTATAGCACCTATAACTTGGAGAGAACCCCTGGAAATAACCAATGGCAAACAATTGAACATAAGCATGATTAACTTAAAGAAGCCTTGCCTAAAGTTTTGGTGTCTATGTCTGCGTTCATCACCCTTTGTTTGCTTTACTAAGAAAGAAATTTGGAAGCTGAGATAGATCTGGTTAGCTACCGTTCAAAAGTGCATATCTGAGATGAGCTGCCACCCCCAGAGATTTTCCATGGTCTAAAAAAAAGATTGTAAACTCAGAGCCCCATATCTAACTAGTAGACATCCCGTACCATGGCTGAAGAAGTCTACCCGGGACTCTAGTTTGGCAACAACTGATTCCACTGAGTACTGTGAACTGAAAAAGAAAAAAAAGGCACTCTGTGATCACTTGCCTGAAGATGTTCAGCCACTAACAGATATACAGGAGAGAAAGGTTTTTCCTTATATGATTAAAACCAGAGACGACAATTAGATTGTTTTTCTGAGTATACGGGTCCTGCTCAATAAGTCTGAAACAGAGTAAAGTGTGAGTCTCAAACTCAGCTATCATTACTGGATTTTGATTCTTCTTTTTTATTTGGCCTTGTCCTGATGCCTCTTTGGATGAAAATTTTTGGAGAGGTTACTGCAGTTTGAATAACCCCTGAGCTCCTAAAAAGAGAAGGACTGAAAATCATCAAAACAGCAGAAGGTTGAATGAGAAAATACTTAATTTGCCTTAAATCAAAGATATTCCCATTTTCAAATTACTCAGTGGCCAGCTCTGCATCAGTTTCTCGTGACTTAGCTGTGCTTCCCCTCTTCTGACTTTTAATTCCAGACCAATTTGCCTAAGTACATGCAGGTCATATGTAGTGTACTTAACCCTGTTTATGATCACAGGATCCCTTTGGGATTTCACCTTACAATATTAGAATTCATACTTTTCTCTAGTGAATGAATCTATTTTGCAAGAGAACATATCTTTCATCCCACTCCAGTTCCTCTGTGTTTGAGCATTTTATTTACTGATTTCTATGCTGAACATTTTTGCTCCTGCAGTGCAAAATACATTATTTGAAAACCACTCTTAGTTTGCCTTCCCTATAGCCAAACAGGCTCTAGAGTTTAATCTCTTCCCTACAATAATTACTTCAGTATTTTCTTTCCATCTGCTGTCTCTGCAGTATCCCTTGCTATTTTGTATTATCAATGGTTTAACTAATTTATTCCTCAGAGTCTTAGAGTGACACAGCACTATTTCCAAAAACAGTGTCTAGAATGTTTATTGCACATTCTGCTGAAAGACAGAAAGGGAAGAAAAGGAAAAACAAATAGAATCCTGTATTTGTTTACTTTAACAGCAGAATTTTTTCACAGTTAACACTGAATATTTGAATGTGCAGTTTAAATCTGATTCACTGGCTCATTACTATGCTGATGAAATTTTATAAAGTCTTGACCTGTGTGAGAGTTGCTCAGCCTTATAGATTCCCTGTGTAATTCTCTAAAGTTAATGTAGGTAGAGTACTGCCTTACTGCAGTCCTTCAGTAGATTTTGGCAGGATTACAAGTGACCAGTGATATCTTCTACATTTTTGTTGAGGATCCCACTTTTCTCACTTTGTTGCCAATCTCACTGAGAGCATCAGGCAGCCACTCTTCACACCCACAAGAGCAGTATGCATCTCAGGTAGGCACCATAGATAAAGACATCCCACAAAACTAATGTTAAGAGCTTCAGATTGGAAGAGCATCAATAAACTGCGCAACAATGTAAAATTAAACTTGAGATAGACAAATTATGATGAATTGTGCAATAGCAAATTAACACATTGCCACTTCCAATTACCCATTTGTCATGGTCTGCTGCACCAGAATTAGGAGGACAGTCTCTACCCCAGGTCTCAGCAATACTTTTTCTGTGCCACAGAAGCAGCTGAAATCAACAGTGAAAGAGGACTGGTGTTACGTCAGACACTAAGCAAGAAAAAAAACCCAAAGAAATAGAACCTAAAGTCTAAGACTCTAAAATGCCAAGTGATAGGAACAAGCCACCTTTATCAAGTGTTTTCTTGACTTTTCTGCATTAAGACTGTGACAGAGGGGATCTTTCTATGACCCTACCTTTGCAACAATGCTCCACTGAGCACCCCAATATCAGATGCTAGAGACCTGCATAAAGGATAAAGAGATATAACTGGAGACAGATGATTTTGTCAATTTTAGCTCAGATACACCTCAGGGCACCTCTCACTTTTACCACAAAAAAAAAAAAGAGCTCTAAGCTTGGGGAAAATGGAAGGGCTGTTGGGCTATGATGCAGCAAGCTGTTAAAACGCAATTTTAACTACGTGCCTACCTCTTTTCACTCCCTCAAATCCGACAGAAATCTGTAGGTTTTAGCATGTGCATACATGCCTTGCTGAAACAGCACTGTAGCTTGTTATCTGAATTGTTGCCCTATTAAACTTGAACTAAAGAGATACACTTCATAAACTTTAATGTAACTACATTGCATTTTCATTTAACATTAAACTGAGGTGTCACTGTTGGACATGAAACAAAGATGCTTGACTCCAGTTCAAAGGCAGAAGAAGATCAGAGGGCTTTATTGTCTACTTTTTAGTACCTTTTATAAGGTGTTCCGATACAGACTTAACATGATTAGTAAAAGAGAACAACACCTCTCTGGTCTCACTGGTGGAACAAGAGAAACAATCAGCACAGCTGTACAGATTTATTTCGAGAAACATGTTATTTACAGAAATTGTTCTTGAAAGAAAGACTCTCCTGAGAAATCTTCCCTTGGGAAGAAATCAGCCACTGGCAGGCTGAAAATCTTTTCAAACTCAGAAATATCAGGCTCATATCTCATTTGTGATTGATTGCAGGTCAGGTTGTAGGTACCCATTGCACCCCAGTATCTGTGGATACACATGCATACCAATGACTCGAAGCAAGAAGTTCAAATGGGCCTTCCCACTGCTTGGTGGTTAAATTTTGCACCCAAACCTTCACTTGGGGCTGATGTGTCTCACCTAAAGCCTGTAAAGAAAGGAGATGTTTCAAGATGACCGGGTTATTTGAATTCTGCAGCACCATAAGGTGATTGACCGTATACAAAGCCTTTGCCAATCGACTTTGCGGGGTTTCACCCTGTATTCCCCATTTTTGTTTTTCAAGAACCCACTTCAAAGCACTATGGGCACGTTCAACAATGGCTTGGCTAGTTGGAGAATGCAGAATGCCAAATTTGTGTGAGACACCCCACAACTGCATGAACTGCCGCACTTTCTGTGAGGCGTAAGCAGGGCCATTATTGGTTTTCACAGTGGAGGGTACCCCTAGCACGACAAAGGCCTTCCTCCAATGGGCAATGACATTGCGAGTTTTTTCTCCAGGGTGAGCAGAAGCCCACATTGCAGAGGAGAAAGTGTCAATAGACACATGCACATACTTGACCCTGCCAAATTCAGCAATTTGGGTGACATCCATTTGCCAAATCTCCAAGGCCTTGAGACCTTTAGGGTTTATGCCTGCCGGTAAAGGCGGAGCAAGCACGTGACAGTCATCACAGGAATTGACAATTTCACTAGCCTCAGTTGGGGTCAACTGAAACAACTTTTGCAATGTATGTGCGTTTTGATGAAAAAATTCATGCAATGCCTCAGCTTGCATGAGTGCATCAGGCTGAGCTGATACCCATGCAGAGTTAGCCAACTTGTCAGCCCTGGCATTACCTTCTGCTATGGAACCTGGCAGATTGGCATAGGCTGTAACTTGCTCTTGAACCAAATCTCGAAGGGCGACTACTTTTTCTTCCTGGAGGGGCCACTGATTTTCCCAGATGGGTTTGTCCAGGAGCCCCCATAAAGAAGGCATAGGACGCGGCGCGCCCTTCGTCACAGTGGCCCCCATCAAAAATCTGTCCCGATCCGTACCCACAAGCTGCCAGTACATCCTGCCCCTAGAGGTTAGCCATAGCCGTGGTAACATAAATCCGAATCATAGCCGATTGTCCCTCTGAGTTTATGATCAGCACAGGCTGCTGGCTGATGAAGCATTGTGCTGTTCCACCCAACCCTGTGACAGGCGACTCCACAGGATTCAGAGGCCACTGAGGAGGCCACGCAGAGGAGGACAGGATCGTTGCGTCAGCACCCGTGTCAATCAGACCTTGCAGATGGATCTCCAGTGGGGTAGCCCCAGGGAGGCACAGGGTACATCACATCTCAGGCCTTTTGTCAGTCAGGGTTGCAGTCCAGTGCACCTGAGGTGCTCCGGTCGACCCAAAGCAGCCGTCCCCTCGACACCGATCTGCAGCCCTGGAAACGGAAGACTTAAAAGGCACAAGTTGAGCAATGCGAGTGTTCTCAGGGATAGTGACAGGGGGGGTGAGGGTGGAAACCATGGCATAAAGCTGTCCCATATAATCAGCATCATTAAGTCCCACATGCACAATGATACCCTGAAGGGTGGCACTAGACCTCCCTATGAGGAGGACACTTTTGCCCTCCCCCAAGGGGCCAAAGGCATCCAGGGGAACTTTGTGCACTTTGCAATAGTCTAAGACTACTGTTGCTACCGTGCAGACATCAAGTCCGGCTGAGCCACGGGTGCTGGCCACAAGCCAGCTGAGCAGACCTGCATCGGCAGCGGGACCCTGGGGAAGTGCTTGTGTCTGCGCGTGTTTCCCCAAAGCACTCCGCTTCGCATTTCCCAAACGTGGCAAAGGCTGGTCCTTAGTATCTAGCTTTGCTGTGAAAGCCTCTGCATAGTGGTTTGGCTTTCCACACCGAGTGCACAGAAATGAGGGAGTTTTCCCTTTCTGTTTCTATTTTCCCTGCTTTTTGGTGGCTTGTGCATTCACCTGTTTCTGCTGCTTGGCCTTTGGCCCTTTCGAGGACGATGGTAGAGCAGTAGCCAAGGCAGAAGTCTTTCAATCTGTGGTGCCTATATTAGCACAAGCCTGGACCATGTCTGGTAAGGAAGGATCCCCAGGGAGGGCCTCAATCAACCTCCTGCACTCATCATTGGCATTGCTTATTGCAAGCTCTTTGAGCAGTAGTTCTCTCAAATCGACATTTTCAACCTGCTTCTCCAAGGATGCAGAGAGTTTCTCAACAAAGTGCAAATAAGGTTCTTTAGTCCCTTGCACTATAGCGACAAACCTCTGTCTTAGAGCAGCTAACCCTATGATTTCCACCAGTGCCGCCATGCCTTTTTTCTGGCACTGGTCCAGCACATGAGGGTCAAAGGTAACCTGAAAATTGGGGTTAGCAAAATTGCCTACACCTGTCAACAGATCACATCCAACCCCATACCTGGGGTCTTGGTGAGACAATTGACTATTGTGCGCAGCTACTTTCACAGCTAGCTTCCTCCAAATGGCTTCAAAGACTTCAAGCTGGACAGGCTGAAACAACACCTGAGCCAGGTACCTAATATCATGTGGTAGCAGTGGCTCAGAGTTGATGACTCCAACCATCTGCATCACCTCTGGAGAACCTAGACCATATCTAGCCACCTTGTCTGTAACCACCACCTTGTCCAACACAGCTTTGAAGGATATCATCTGATGCGTGTTAGGCTGTACCGATTGAGGATATGCCTTAGGCACAGGGAAAGCCCTGAGACCTCCTTGCAAGGTGACAATATCCCTTTGATCCAGCCCCATAGACGTCACAGGAGCAGGGACAGACAAGTGGTCGGGGCTCACATCCGCTGTACCAGGTACCATGTCCCCTCCAGCATCTGCAGAGCTAGGAAGACCACCTCCAGACCCCATGAAATGGTCCAGCAAGTCACATTCCCCCATCTGCAAAGCCTTGGCTTGGACTTCGTCCCAAAAGCTCCTGGGGTCCCTGGGAAAAACCGTGACCTGGCACGGTGGGAGTGTCCAATGGCCACTTGAATAAGGACCAGCTCGATGTCCCTTGCTCCGAGTAGACACTTCCCCCAGGATGGCTGTGTCACCGCGAGACCCAAAGGTGAATACAGGAGGGACAGCGGACGTAGCTGCCCCGGGACCAGCGCGGGGTGGGGAGTTGGGCGCCGCGGCCACAGCAGCAGGAGCCGGGCCATCCGTGGCAGGGTCTGCAGACGCCTGCAGTACAGAGCCCACAGCAGACTCGGACCCAAGCAGCGCATCCAAATCCGGCGCTCGGGAGGGCTGGGGCGGCAGAGGATCGCCGTCACCCACGCCCGGCGCTGCAGGGAGAGGAGGTGGGGCCAGGAGGGCCCCGGCACCTGCCGTGTCGCCCGTGCCCGCCGCCGCGATGGGGGAGGGAGCCTCGGGGAGAAGCGGTCCCGGCAAAGGACCGGCCCCGCCCGCGGGATGGGGGGCGCGGGGCAGGCTGGGGAGCTGGGGCGCACTGCGGG